TTTGCCTGAGACGAACCTCTGCCTGGACCTCAGCTTTTTTGATGTGCTCCTGTAACTTGAGTACCTCCTCGTTTGTATTACAAAAAACTTCTAGTCCGCCTTTTGGAGCCGGTTTGATAGCGTTGACGACAACTGGGATCTCACTAAGTGGAACCTTTTCTTGTAACTGTGTTCTTAGATCACGTGGATGGATACTCCCTAAAGGGTTGATGATCAGACTGGGTTTACTGAACTGTTTAAGCACTGCCGCAAAGGTTGGTTTCTGGGGCACAATCGCTGATGGTGTTGTCGCTGACTTCAAGTGGCTATGCCTTTCCCCTGTGTTCCTGGGAGCCTGCGTAGTTGCTGTTACTGGCAGGGAGTCCGTGTTTGTACTTGAAGTAACCACCTCAGGGTAAGGGGTGTTAGTGCCAGTGGTACAGCGCGGGATTACAGAAGTGTTCACGTCTTTGTTGACTACCTCTGTTCCACGTAATGCGATGTCCCGAAAGATCTCTAGAGTGGCTATGAGGCGTGGTAATATATTTTTATTATTACCTCGAACTGTATTGGCTATTTGTACGCTCTCGTCGAAGACCGCTTTTATTTTTTTTTTTTCTCTATATGAGAAGTCAGTTGAAACTAAGTGATTTGGCAAATCTAGATCACTGCAGTGTGTGGAGGTACGCATTTCAGACATACTGCATTGAGTCTATTGTATGAAATCACTAATGATAAATAAAAATATATAAATTATTCTGCTATTCCACAGAGTCACTAATTGCTATTGGAATCTTTAAAATTATGCACTAAGTCTCTAATTTCACTGTGTAGACTATCTCACTGAATGCTGTAGAAATCTCTATATTATGGCAATTAGAGGCACTATACTGAGCACTAAATTGTGGCACTATAACAAGGAACTATCTTAAGGCACTGTAATCTCTGTATTAAAGCACTGCTGTTGAAGTCTTATATTAGGAAGCTGTTGAGATCTCTATATTAAGGCACTGAGTCTCTAATTCACTGAATACACTAAATCACAAAGCCACTGCATAACTGTAGTTCACTTGAGCAGTGCTTAAAATTGAGCCCGCAGGAAGAATTACAATGTAAAGTGCACACAAATTATCACTTGCGCAGAACTTGAAACTGAGCACGTAGTGAGAGTTACAGTACACAACACAGCAAATGTGTGATGGAAATAATTAATTATTAATGCACAAAAGTTTCAGTAAGCACAATAAATAGCAGTACACATGATATTTTTGTAAGTATACACATATATTTAAGTGATAAACACGTAAACCGAGAGGTTGTAGTGGTATGCCAGAGGCCCGAAGAATGTTAATAAGTCAAAGATAGCAAAGAGAAGAGATGAGTGATGAAAAATGGGGGAGAATGTAATGAATAGCTGAAACGGGAACAGAAGGAGAATCGCAGGTGCAGAAAGAGTAGTAATAGGAGAGCCTGGACCTTAAAGAGGTTGCGGGTTTACAACAGGAAGAATGTGGAGGTGTTTCCACTAGAGGAAACTGTTTAAAAAAAAAAAAATTCTAAAAATACAAGTGTATAGTTGCAAAAAATGCTCGAAAAAAAAAATTAAAATTAATAATAAATATAAAAAAATGTGCGGAGGGTTGGGGTGGAAAGAAAGAGGGGGTCAGCAAAAAAAAAAAAAATTCTAAAAATACAAGTGTATAGTTGCAAAAATTGCTCGGGAAAAAAAAAGGATTAATTAAAATATAAAAAAAGGTGTGCGGAGGGTTGGGGTGGAAAGAAAGAGGGGGTCAGCAAAAGAAAAAAAAAAAAAAAGGTAAAGTGTCAAGAGGGGAAAAGAAAAGAGGGCGCTATCTAATGTAGTTAAGGAGAAAACTTAGAAATTAAAAGGGAATAACAGGATAACAAGGGGATGAAAAGAAGAGTTTGAGGCCGCTAAGTTACATAGAAGCGAAGTTATCAGAGAAATAAAAAGAAGGGGAAGTCAGTTAAAGGGGGAAAGAAGAGGGGAAAAGGCTTGAAGACAGCTTAACTAGAAAGTCATAGAGGAAATAAAATTAATGTTGGACTGAGAACTTATACTACCCGTAACTTAAACCACAAAATACAGACATTTTAGTAGGAGAAAGAGACAGAGGAAAAAAAAAAAAAAAAAAAAAAAAAGGTTAGAAAGTGCAAACACAAAATTATTAAATTTATATCAATAGTCAGTAATTTATAATACAATCAGTAAATTTCATTAATCAATAAATTTACATCTATAAAGTATAAAAAGATTGTAACATAAACATGAATGGGCGAATAAATGACAAAGTTGAAGTTCGAAACATAAACAAAGCCGCGCGGTAAAAAGTTCTAATGTCACAGGTGTCAACAGGTTCTGTGCCAAGCGCGCATGCGCTTTGTAGGTGGAGGGGAAAGGTCGTTGTTAATATGCTAACCCTGAGGGGCTTCTTGAGAAAACAACAACCTTGCAACCCCTGCGTCGAAAAATTCGACTTGGAAGAAGTTAGTAGGGGGGAATACGAGTTACGGATTATAAAAATAACACAAAAGTGTGCATAGCAGATGAACTAATAAACATAAATTCAAAGCAAGGGTACCGAAATAAAGAGTACAAGAAGACCTACTTTGCCGAGGATAAATGATGATGATATTCCAAATAGAAGCCGAGATATCCTAGAAGAAATCCGCAAAAATGACACTTTATGGACTCTAATTAAAATAATTATAACTCTGCTTAAACACACACCACAAACACAATTCTTGCACCGTTAGAAAGCGGAATGCGCCAGCTTTCTCCAGATATCTGTGTTGAGAACAGAAGGCAATTTGGTCGCGAGTAATCACTTAACAACGACGGAGCATAAAGCAGCACTTCATTTTCTTCTCCGGTTCTTCATTCAAAAACATAGGCTCATGCGTAGACAATGGATGAGAATTTAAAATTTCAATAACTCCGGAATTATAAGACGTAGGAACACAAATCAAGCATCAAAATTTGTAGCTTGTTGAGACCTTTACGATGTTACTAACCTTGTAGACACACGACAAATTTTACTGCGGTTATAACTCGTTCAACGAGGAGACAAGTAAGATAAGTCACAAAACAAAAATCTTTTGGTTGCTTGCTGTGCTGAATTAAAACAAAGTGCTCTGAAATTTTGAATACTCTGGCCATGATATACCTACTCTTTTTTGCTGTTTGTTGTGCCAGGGAAAGTCACGTCTATTTGGTATTATCTAAAATGTTAACTGCTTATATGAAAATTGTGTGACACATTTAGCACTCCTAGTGTTATACCAATTTAAGCAAAAATGTATTTCTGAATAATTATTCCTGTTACAAGAATGTTTCAACCATCAAGCCAGTTGTGATTTTTACTCCAGTCAAATCTAAGCAGCAGTTTTTCTCGGCAATGACAAGAAAGTGAATTGGTTTCATCCTCTGCAAAACCTACATTATCACACACACACATATATGTATATACGTGTGTGTGTAAGATATAATAAAATATGATGGCTGCTTTAAGAATAATTGTTGACCTTAAAATTAATGATTCTAAATTTTATGGTTTCCTCCTAAATTTATCTGTTCTCTCAAATTCGAGATCTTTCCATGTTATGTAATACTTAATACGTCATTTATGCTCACTTCTATCACCATAGTATCAAAAATATATGTATTCTGGAAATAGGCATGATTGGAGTGCCAAGTTTATGGATACAATTGTGAATTTAAATAAAAAAGGAAATTAATACAGCTCGACGTTTTCCTCTTTAATATGGATCATATGTCTGTGCTAAATAACATTGCTACACTTCTATGTCTCAGTATCCTTACATCAGTGTTTCCAAAACTGTGCTATCATAAACTATATATATATATATATATACACACATATGCATATGCTAGTATACGTCTAAATATATATGTGCTACTCCATTTTATCATTTACTACTGTAAAAAAAAACAGAGGACTTTTCATAAAAATTGAAGTTTGCTGACTTTGCTTGGTCATTGTAATAACACTAGCAAACTTTTCATTGTGTCATTGGTAGTTAGAGAATTATAAATATATGTAAAAATAAAACATGTGCAACAATACATGTAGTGCTGCTGTAATAATTTTTAAGCCTTAGCATGAACTATGTATTGTATTCTTCTTTCTCTTATGATAGAATTTTGTAATTGATGTATGAATCTTTGTACCAGTAAAAAAAAAAATTACTTCTTTTCACATTATATTTGGATTTGGGATATTGGTAATACTGTAATATTTACAGTGTTTAGTATCATAAATGAGTACTTAATAAGTACTGGCAGGCCATGAAGTAATCTTGTAAACAGATAACCTAAACTTAAAACACTGATTAATACAATACAGTGCTTATTTGCATAGTTTCTCTTTTTAGTAATTTGTTTCTCTTGCTCTCTGTTACCATTCTTAATTACTTATATTACTGTAAGGAAACAGTGCACAGTATATATAGGTACAAAATATGTGATGATCTATTGCTTATGTTAATCAGCAAGTCTTATGATTAGTAAAAAACTTATGATGGTTGAGTTTTTGGGGAAGTATACAGTATATATGGATTTGCAGTTACTTTGATGCTCCTAAGCCTCTCATAATTTTATACATTTGTCTCTAGGGTAGTCAATTTTCTATTAGGTTATAATAGCATTATCACATGCTTGTGTGTGCTGAGCAGCAAAAGTGCTAAGTATCTGCTACTACATTTTGTCATTAAGCTCTTAAAAAATAACAACAACAAAAAGAAGGGGAGAATACTTATCTGTTATTCTTTATAACTTTAAAACAACATATGTATGCTTTCTAAGAAATATTGTTTTGTTAATTAGATATTAGCTGTATTTCTCATAATATATTTATATGATTATAAGTTTATTATCTGACTATAACAGTTTTTGGAAAAATTTGAAGGAAAGTTCTATGAAATATTTTTATATGTCTGTGTACATGTGAAGTTTCATTAAATAAAATACTTTCTTTTAGGAGAGGAAGTAAGAAACCCTCAGAAGTCCATTCCAATTAGCATTGTTTTATCTTTACTTTTTGTTTTTCTGGCATATTTTGGTGTATCAACTGTACAAACTATGATGATGCCATATTACCTTCAAGATAATCCTGCCCCTTTACCCTATGTTTTCGACTATGTTGGTTGGCCTGTTTGTAGATGGATTGTTTCTATTGGAGCCTTAGCAGGGCTTTCTACAAGGTATAACATTATATATAATAATATAGTTTTTTTGGTCTTTGTGTGTCAATAATGTGATTGTACTTGAATTTATGTTATGTCATCTCCTAGATTATATAGTAAACTTTTCATAATATAAAAAATAAGTAACTTTTATAATGAATAATATAAGTAAACAAGCTAACAAGTTGTTTTTTAATATTCTTTTCATACATGTATCTCATATTTGTTGTTGTCTAGTCCAGTTGTTATCATATGGGTCAGCTGTGAAACTGATTTTCAGCTGTGAAGTCAGCTCATTACCAGCTTGCAGATAAAGGTCAAGGTTTACAGGTCCCTAGAATTTAAGGTATAACAAAATGGAGGCTATGAACCTTTATGGAGATGTAGAATGTTGCTGACAAATCAGTGATTCTTTTCCTATGCAGTGATATTATATGTCAGCAGTGAAAATCTTTAATGAAAATGTGACTTTAAAAGTTGCAAACAGACAGCAATAAAAAAAAAAAAAAAAAAAAAAAAAAAAATTGAGGGAAGCAAGATTGCATTTCCAACAGTTATGCAGTTTATTTAAAGTTCTGGAAGGCAGTGGTCTCCAACTCGGATAGCATGCAGGAAAGGCTGAATCTGAAAACAGCTAATGGGCCAGAATTTTTTCCTTTTCTGCTTCTTCTTCTTCTTCTTCTTCTTCTTCTTTTTTTTTTTTTTTTGTTTCATCACAGTTTGTTATTCAAATATATTAACAACTGAACATTACATTTTCAGACTGATGTATGGATTTTTTTAAAATTAACTTTTTAATCAATCATTAAATAATTAAATTAAATTTAAACTGAACATAAACAAAAGATAAAACTTGAGAACAAATAATGGCAGTCTGTCTCTTTTTCATTAAATTTTTTCTTTGACATGTACATAATAGTAAATATATTTGTACCTAAATAAACTCTTTATTTCTTACACTACCGATGGATATTTGATGTATTTTGATTCTGATAAAGTTTGCAGCCTTGGAGAGAGTTTACTAGAAATTATTTTCTACTAGAAATTATTTTCTTCATGGATTGTAGATGCTCAGCACTCAGTTGGATTAATTTCTTATTAATTTTTTAATGTGAAAAAGAGTTGGTCACATATAAATGTATTTCCAAACAGTGCGATTATTAGTGCAAAAATTTGTAACTGAGCTTATATGTTTTTACAGTGAATAAAAGTTAATAAAATCAGTATCTTCAAATATGATTTACATCACACTTAATTAACTCCATTTATAATTAACTCCATTTTTACAAGTTAATTAACTCCATTTATAGATTTCTAGTGCATTATTCATGTTTGTTTTTAATGGTAATAAAAATAATGTAAACTCGGACTCCCAATAACCAAAATCTTGAAATCTTTGCAACGCCATATTTGACATAAATACGTAGTTGAAATTTATTCATGAGCCACATAAAATTAATTGGTTCTTCGGCTGCATGTAGCCCACAAGCTGCCAGTTTGAGACCACTACTGTTAGGGATTAGCATTAGCTATATTTTCAGATAAGCTGTATGGCGAATAAAGTTGAACAAAAAAAAAAAAAATTAATTACTAAAATATAAGAGCCACCAGAATTCATGCTACTCATATCAGCAGCTTTAAGCTCTTATATTCAGATAAGTATGCAATGAAATTATGCATTCATTTTATGCCAAATTTAGAACTACACTGGAAACAAAATGCTAGAAAAAGAAGTACATTTAAATTTACCTTTTAAAAACTGATTCATTGTATGCTTTTAGTAATAATTTTTTAAAAAACATAAAACTGACTCATTACAATAGGTGTTCTGAGGTAATGGCTTTCAATTTATAAAAAAGTACAAAATAGGTTAAAATAAAGTATGAATGTAAACAAATTTGCATTAAAAAAAATATGAAAGTAGCTGTATTTAAAATCAGGTATTAATAAATTTTAGCTTCTGTGACTAACAGATAATATATATTAAGCAAATAATTAATGAATTTAAAAATCTGTAAAATTTTTAAGTCTATAATTTTGTAATGGGTGCTTTAATAATTCTAGCTCTTTGGCAATTTTGTATTATTACAGCTATTTGTTTAGCTTAAAAGTGTATTGTTGTACCTTTTTTAAGTATTTAAAAGTAGTTCTTTTTTTTTTTTTAACTCCACTTTACAGCCTTTTAGGTTGCATTTTCCCTCTTCCCCGTGTTTTGTATGCTATGGGATCAGATGGCATTATCTTCCGCTTCTTAGCCAAAGTTCACCCTCGTTATCAGACTCCTTTGATTGCGACTGCTATTTCAGGTGTTTTTGCAGGTTTGTATGAAATATTGATTTATTTTTAAAGTTTGCAGTTATCTGTTGGTACAGTTGTCTCTTGGATAACATGGTTCTGAACTCTGCATTCTATTTAAATGCAGATTTATTTCAACTAATTGTATACATTTTAGAGATATGTCACAATATGAAACATTTTAGAGATCTGTAATATTTTGAAGAACTTGCAGATGAACTGCACATCTTAGAAATATTGGCACACTTTAGAGAATGTTGAGTTTGTAATGAATGAATAAAAAAAGTAGATTTATTATTACTTAAAATATAGTTTATCAAGGGCTGTCATAAAATGTACAGAAATCTGCTATAAAATATTGTATTTTGTATGACTAGTGTTAGAGTCCGGATAACATTTTATAGTGTGTCTTTATAAAATGATATTACATTAGATGCAGACTAACAGGTGATTAATCATGTCAAGCTAAAGAAGTAAACTTAGGGATCAATAAACAAATATTCTACCATATGATAATTTATTGTAAGGATACAACAATTAATACATACAGTATGTAAAATAAGTGACAACTGCTTGCTCATGCAATGTTACTACAAAAGAAATATGACTAAAAAAGAAGGGATTAGGGATTATTAAGTTATGGCAAAGCACACGAGGGCTATCTGCCTAAAGGGAGGGGTGCCTTCGTAGAGGACTTTCTAAGGGAAACTGGCTCGTATACACGTTACACATGGAGAAAACCACAAACGCCCATGCAGCCAGCCCGTTTGTGAGATTCGAACCTCGGACCGAACTACCAGTGTTCAGCATCTTTACCGCTCGGCCGCTGGTGGGCCCCTAAAAAAGAAGGAATGCAGAGGAAGACATAATGATCAAACCTTAAGTGCATATGTGCAAGTATGAAATATTTTCTACATTTTTTTGGTGATGTAGCCTTTGACTATGTATCATGTGACTAAGCTAACAAAATGGCCACATCTGTAGTGGAAGATGCTTATTTTATACAATAAACTTATTTAGGTAATTGTGATTAGGATGAAAGAAATTTAAACCACTATATTTTTGCAGACTGTGGGACATGGGATCTGAAGTTCATTCGGCCTTGTTAATTTTCTTGAATTTTGCTTAAAGACATCACAAATAACTTTAATGTATTTTTCTGATATGCAGAGTCACTCAGTACTTTGTACTAACAGCTCCTCTATTTAAATTTCTTGCAACAATGGATTTTTTTTTACTTGGATGTAGTTTACTTCCAAACTTGATCGAAATATGCACTAATATTTGTTTTACTGAATTCCAACACCTTCTGTACTGAAGACATAACCTTTTGTCTACTGAAGATGTAACATAATTTTATTCCTGTGTGGAGTGCTGGGAAGAAAGTTTATTTGATATTTCACTCAATTATCCCTTAGTTTTCATCTCGATACCTTTTATTTTGCTATTTTTGTAAATTGTTATAACTGCATACTTTTTTACTAACTGCTTTGCCATATTAATTAAATCGCATTTATGATAGATTGTTAGAAGTTAAATTTTAATTATGAAAATTTATGTGCATTTTTAAAAAATAGCAATGGTAATTTATTTAACATTTTTCCTACAGTGTTCAAGAACCAACTGTACATTTTTTCAATGTTTATTCATTAAAAAGCTACAGAATGTTAATATTTCACACAAAGTTATATTTTGTTTGTTATGGAAATGCATTTACGTAATCAGACTTTAAACTTCTTAACATCTAAGACACCTTCTGCACCAAAAAATGGATCAGTACATGACTCATTTTTTGTACAGAACTAGCCTTATACTTTATTCTGTAAAAGAAAGTCAGTAAATGAAGTTTCATAGCTACTTTTGAGAAACTGAAATGGATAAGGAAGAATTATTTCTTTTCTTCTAGACTTCTTTTGAGAACTCTATTGGAAAGGAATAGAACATTACTGACTTAAACATAATTAATTTTCCAGGAAACCGTGATCCCACAGCTGTTTGTAAAAGTGAGCCAGAAGTATTGCCTTCAGCAATATATGACCATCACATAAATTTGGCAAACAAGAAGTGGTTCATAATCTAGCAGTGTTTTTTTTTTTTTTTTTTTTTTTTTTTTTTTTTTTTTTAGTCCAAAGGGGTTTTGACCCTGAAGGACTATAGTTTTCATTTAGCGAATTTGCGTTGGTTCACTATAAATGTTCATTTCACTTTTCAAACTATTGCCACCAAATGTTGGAGTCCTGCATTATATTTGTAAGAATTAAGTAATGAAAAATCTGCATATATGTATGTATATTTCTCACATTGTAATAAAACAATGGTACTTAATAGCCATCAAATTTTGAATGATGTAATCCTACTATGAATATGGGTACGTGGAAGCCCAAATATGAAATTTGGAATTTGTTTTATGATCAATTTCATATTTTGTAAAATTTTAACAAATTTTTGAGTAACAAACTCAACGATTGAAAAACGAGTATGGCAACATTGTGCAGAAAAAAACATTTTTACCTCCAGCGAACGAGACTCTGTATCGGAAATTCTAAAGATATGCTCAATTTAAAACTAATTTGCGATATTGCTCTTGAGCTGAATTTTATGGTTTAAGTACGAAGAACGCGCCCCTTTAAACGTAATTTAAAATCTGAAACTTTTCAGATTTTTTTTTTTTTTTTTTTTACGCTGCTTGGGAAAGCCTTTAAATTTCCTTAAGATCTTCAAAATTTTAACATGCAATTTTATGTTGATATTCAGCCGTTTCTAGAATTCTATGATTTATATTGGAGGTTTGCAAACCTGGTCTTTTATAGAATCATATCAAAATCATTCACAGTTAAACTGAATAAGTTCTTTTTTATGACTCTGAATAAGTTCTTGCTAACTATAGTAATCTTGATGAAAATCAGTAATAGGGAATGAATCGAGAATAATTCAAAATACAAAAAGAATCGTGCAAGGAATAGGGTTTGAGAATCAACTTAATCAAACCAGAAACTCCATGATTTGATTTCTTTCAACAGAGCTCTGAAATTCCCTAAAACCTCCTTTCTATATGGAATTAGCAATAAAATACTGTAATAATAAAAAAAAATGTTAAAAAATTGTGGGAATGATAAAAATTAAACTCATTTTTAAATGGGAGGAGAAATATTCTACTTCCCTTAAATGCATAATTGATGCAATCTCTCTCTCTCTCTCTGTATACTCTATGCATAATTACTCTATGCATGATGTACTATACTCTATGCATAATTGATGCAATCTGCAATTGCAATCTTATTTGTATATCACTATTGGTTTGTGGAATTCCAGAGATATCAGATGCAAATACCAGCATGAAGAAACTAATTGTGAATGGAGATACTTGTAAAGCTGGATGTTTTATGTAAAGCAGTATTTTGCCTGCATGTTTTGACAGCACACTACCAGTATACATTTTAAAAGAATTTTATGCAAACTGAATTTTGAGTCTATCATTTTCTTTCTTTCATCATGTAGGGAATTCTCTTGTTTGAAAAAGACATATATCATCTTCCTTTGTACTTCATTAATTGTTTGATGTTTTACTGTCAAACCTTTCTCTATTGATATATGAATCCTAAAAATTAAAAGAGAAAGATCAAACATTAAATCATAGGTATAATTATAAAGAAGAGAGAAATAAAGTTACTTAAGAGGAAAAGCAAACTACCGTGTATTTCCATGTATAAGCTGAGAATCTTTGAAACATTTTATTAAGCTAAATTATGTGGGGTCAGCTTATATATGGATTCACTACTCTCACACACACTCTCTTATTTAACCCAACCTTAGCTGGCATTATGCCAAAACATTTTAAATCGTCCACCAGGACTGTTATCTAATAATCTGTTGTACCAAGCATAAATGTAAGAACTGAAAAAATATTATCTCGTCCTCATGGATTGTACTCAGTTTTTATAAATGAATGGACCTATGCAGTGAACGCATCTATATGCTTACAGTCACACAGAAGTTAAATATTTTAGACTTTCAATAAAGTCTGTTCATGACATGAACTTTTTAGACTTTATTGAAACTAAAAAAAAGATGTGCATTCTTTAATATTTGTAGAGATATTTATTTTATCTCATGAAAGATATTTTAATTGTTTTCTTAGCTATCACAATTTTATGTTAATTTATGCTTTACCATTTTAAGGAGTTATGGCTATGATGTTTAACGTTCAAGAACTGGCTGATATGATGTCTATTGGTACTCTTTTAGCATACTCATTAGTTGCTGTATCTGTAACTATCCTAAGGTATGTATTCATAATTTTAACTATGATTAAAATTATAATCTTTAATACTATGGCATTAATTGTAAAAGAGTGATATTATATAAATAAGGTACTACAAAGTCTGGTCATACTACAATGTTAATTGTAAAACAGTGTCAAAGATATACTAAATATAGATATACAGTACAAAGTCTTGAGTTCTAGAATTATTGGAACTTCGAACGATTCTGGATTTTTAAAATTTTCAGATTTTAAATGTAATAAAATGACATGTGAAAATTATAAAGTAAAAAATATAAAATAGCTCTTTGTGAAATGTATTATTATGATCCTAAGGGAATTAGATTTGCTAAAAATGTTTAGAATTTATTTGTTTTATTAAAAATTTGTGTAAATGCAAGCTGTTTATGCCACTTAATTTCTTTTACAAATACTTCCTCATTAATTTTAAGACACAATTTTTTGTACTATTTAAAGTTCCATTGTTCAAAACCTGTAATTGCTGTGTTGAAAATTCTGGCTATACTATTAATCAAAACCTTTTCATATCAAAAACCTCGTTGTTTACTTTCTTCCCCCTTATAACTTCTCTACTTAACAATATTTTCTAGATTTAAAAACCATAGTACAGATTTCACTATCCATTAGTTGATTTCTGATTGGGGCATTTTTATCACAATGGAAGATTTCCATTATATCATCATCATTTATTATCTGTTCTTCACATTTCTTCATAAATTCCATTAATTTGAAAATTACACCTTCTATAGCATTCAGAATCTAAACCAGAAAAAGGTTGTCTTCCTTTTGAAGTCGTGCTTTCTTAACCCAAAATTACACCAGTGCCACTCACTATACAAGGCAAATACCAAATATGCTTTCATTTTGTAGATCATACTAGAGCTTCCAGGGTCAAAAAATCTTTTCAGTATAATTGAAAATTTGTCTTTAAGCCAAGAAAACATAATCAGCTGGATGAAATTAGTAAGTTAAGGAAGTAAGGAAGAGTGTAATTAGCTATTTTTAACTGTACTTAAGGTCTTTAGTGTTTGATTATTTCTCTCTTTCCTGCTCCATTTCTAAACTCCCCCCCCCCCGATTGTCTACTAATCTGGGTAATCAGCAGTTTCTATATGCTATTAGCTGGCCAGTAGTTGTGTAGCTAAAACTACAAAACAGTGATAATGTACCCATATTCTCTTCCCAGCTGTTGAATGGTCTGGTTGTGTGAAGATTTCATGAATTTTCTCATTATAAGGAAATGACAGGCCGTTTGCCCTTAACAAATTCTCCACAAAGATATGTTCTTGGAAACAGGGAATCCTAATGTGTTAAGACTGAGTAATCTAATCTGCCTTTTATTTTGACTGTATTGTTTACGTGAAACCTATAGTTTCAGTCTGCTGTTAATTTCTGTTTGTTTCACTGTAATTATTGTAACAGTATTTTCAGTAAATAACAGTAGTTTGCTGATAATAGATAAATTGCTTTTGAATCTTATGAAAATTTATCCAAAGCGAAGACTGGAAATAAATGTACTATCATAGGAAATATTTTATTTTTAATTTTTCTGGAAAATTGTTTTGGTTTTCAGTGTTAATAAATTAATTTTTTCATGTAAAATGTTTTAATTTATTATTTCTGAAAGTAAATCTAATTGATCTTGAAATGTAAGGAATCTATTATGTAGCTCTGCAGTATAAGTAGCTACTAGTATGGCATATAGTGCACATACAAAAACAAGGCATTGTCCCTAAATTTTCTAACATAATAAAATTTTAGTTATCTTCAGTATAAAAATAGCATTAGCAAAATGAAATCTTAAAATTTTTTTTGCCCCCCTTTTCAGATACAGCTGTGATGATGGAGCAGAGAATTCAGTAAATAAGCCTCGCTATTCTTCAATAGCACAGAGGTAAGTGATATACTAGAAATATTAATCATTTCATTGCATAATTATGTTAACCTTTTTCACGTGGGTTTGAAAAATAGCTATATTCTTTCACTGGGAGCTCTTTGCACAGTAGTTAAGAAAAGGGCGAAAAAATCACATCAAGCTTTGAGTATGAAGGGAATAGTGGCTTTTTGTTGGAGGGAAGGGAAACATCAGCCTTGCCTTTCAATCCAGTTCAAAGCTTCAGAGTTAGAGTATGGGAAATATTCTATTCTTTTTAACCTTGCAGAAAACTAGTTATCATGAAACTAATTATCTGATGAAAAACTAGTTATCATTTTGTCTTAAAAAGAAGTATATGCTGCTAATAAAGAATTTTGTTCAAAAAACACATTCCATTTCCTGATTAAAATATTTTTTTTAATTTTGCACTTAAAACATATTAAAAATAAATGAAGGATTCAACAGTTAAATGTATTATTATTTGACAGTATAGAAAATTATAACTAAGAACAATAATCAGACCTGCCCATTATTTATTTATTTATTTATTTTTTTTAGTTTAAGCATTATTCTGATTTTGAAGAGCAATATGAGTATCGCAATCTTGAATATCGTTATTACTTCATATGCTGAAGTGTCATTTATATTTTTTTAAGCCTGTAGATGAATGTTATTATTCTGCACCACTAGTAAAATCCATTCCTGGAGAAATACAGATTGTTCATTGCACTGGTATTGCTTGAATCACCATTTACAAACACATGCAGTGACAAAACTTGTCAATGCACAAGACAAAATAATTTGTTTATCATCTATACAATTCCTTAGACATGACCTGTCTTTAGACTGTTGCCACTTTCTTTCACTTTTTTAACCTATTCATAATTTTTGTTTAGAATATTTTGTGTTCAAGATAGAAATGCAGAAATAAACACTGGAGCTTTTCAAAATGAAATCCTAACTGAGTTCAGTTTTAATTTTATTCAATAACAAATTTAGTTTTATTATTTAGCAACATTAGAATTTATTTTTATCTTAGAAGAGAAATGGAATAGTTGTTTGACCTTTTATATTACTGCTGCAATTCTTTTTTGAACACAAAACTATTTTAAACTGAAATGCATGAAAATATTTTTTAGATAAAAATCTTGGACAGTATCAACTAACAAAATATTTGTTCTATTTTTTATGATGCTGTACATTTTTAGAATTTTAAAATGTTTAAATTGCCTTTAAAATATTAGGTTGTGGTGTGAAGTTTCTAGGTCTCAAGCTTTTTATTATTACATTCTTATATGTGGGGGGAAGAAGGTTGTCTCTCATCTCTTTTTGAGAGAAGAGATTAGTAGCTGTTTCTATGTCCAAGTATTTCTCACTAAGAACCCACTGGTTCTAACTGAGAAATAATTTAATGAACTAGAAAATGGTATGATATCTTACTTCAAAACACAATTCTGACGTAAACATTTCCAGTAGTGGATAAATTAATAATTTTTTTAAACTTTTTTAAAAATTTATTTTGTCTGATAAATTGCTCTATGCTAATAGGAATAATAAAAATTTATGTTTAATTGGTCTAAATTTGAGATTCGTTTTGTCATTAAAAAGCTTCATGGTAAGCAAGCATTTCTAAACATAGTTGTGGATGTTTCATAACTTTGGAATTTTAATTTTCAATATAATTTTATTTTGTTTTATCAGAGTATGGCAAAGGATACAAGGACTATCTGTTTAACATACGGGATGCTTTCACATAAAACTCTCTAAAGCTTGAAAAAGGTTTCTAAAGCTGTTCAGCATCCGTTCAGCCACTAATTGCCATTTTGAATATTACAACAACCCAAAACTTCACTCAGATATTAACACCAATTTTGGAATATTTGTCATTTAAAAATAATATTAAAATTAATTTTTATCGCTCGAAATATTTTTATTAATTATGCTGCCTTTGCATACATATTAAAAACTAGTATAAAATGAACCAAAAGCAAACTAAAAGAATGATATTAAGTTAATTTTCAAACACAAATTGAAACCACATTAAAAAGAAATTAAATTTGGAGGAATTAGAAAAATTTTGCATTTGTAAATGCTTTCAAGTTTTTAAAAATCATTCCTCAAGATTTTTTCCTAAAATGAAAATTGCTTGATATTTAATCTCCACTCCAGTTTCTGATGAATTTTTCTTCCTGATTTCAGGAAAGTAATTTACAATGCTATAGGGCATTTCAAGTTACTGATAAAATAATATTCTTTCATGAGAATCTATTTGGAAGACTCTAAATAGTCTCATTTGCAATACTTAGTTTAATACAGCCTTTATAGCTTTTTAGGAATTAGCAAAATTTAACCATTTTTTATGACCAAACATTTTAATGATAAAACAAAGATTTTGTTCAAAATAGTTTACAAAAGAAACTCTAAATTTTTAAATTTAGGTACTCCAAGAATACATTGAAATTTAAGGGAAACAAAAACGTACCAGCTGAAAGATTAAGTGACAGTATTTGCAACAATCGTAAAGAAAGGAAGATCTTAAAAGGCAAATGTATTTGAACAAATAAAAACTTACTTCTTTCCTTTAACAAAACATTTCAGAAAACTAAATTTGCTAACATGCCATGTAGACTTGGCTGATAATTTTCCCTTACCCATTAAAAGGCTGCAACAAAAGAACACATTCCTCTGTGGGTCATAAAATAGTCTTCAACCTTAAGTGCTAGAATTCCTAACTCTGCAACAAGAAAATTTCCCAAGTTCTTAGTGAACACATAAAATGCTCTGGACATGTATGTCCCAGCTGCCATGAAATATTTAAGAAAGCGATAATAGTATGAAGATATGTGAGTAAAGTGTTAATGTATTGAGCAATGCAAAATTCTTAACAAATATACAACTATATGACTTGCATACTAAAGGAATAATAATTGGTTACATTAAAGTATAGTTAGTTCAATATAGTCTAGTTAGTTAGTTCAATATAGTCTAGTTAGTTAGTTAGTAGTCTATTTAGTTTCAAGTATTAAAATATATTTTAATATTTAATTGGAATTATTGTTCATAATTTTATATATTTAATGTTTTGCTTACTGTACCAAAAAAGGCCTATTCTTACAAATTCAGGTAACAGGTCACTCTGTATATTAGGTCATTTTTCTAAGAATAATCTCTGAACAAAATTTGGCTGTACTGTTTATTGTAAAAAGTAGTATTTTTTTACATTCGTTGGAGCAAATAATTTTTATGCAACCTAATTTGTTTTTCTTTTTCTTTTTTTAGTCCAGAAAAGAGAGGTTGGGAAAATGATTCTCGTGTGAAATCATCCAGTATAACAGGTTCTTTGGCACTTCCTCTTGAGAAGCTAACCTATAATGCAGTTTTAAGGCAACTCTTTAACATTGACAGGCTTCAGAAACCAAACAAACTAACATCCAAAATAAGCATTTGGTTAATAGGAATTACATGTTAGTGATATTTTTCTTATTTTAGATTTTGGTTGGATAAATATTTTTGCCATTTTATGTTGAATTATTATAATGATTTCAAATTAAAATAGAAGTCCCAATTAAAATACTGGAAAGAATTTTATTCCTTTTCTCTGGTTTGTTGTGAAGCATATGAGAAATTGTATTCATCAATTTCTACAATTTTATGGGAATTTGTTTTTTGCCATCAGCCTGATTTGGATCTGTCTAAGAAGCTACAATATATGTGATTAAAATTAAGAATTATCAATTGAGATTACTATGAAGTCGGAAAATCCTTTTGTTATTGGCACACAAAAGAGCTTGCAACTGAGGCTAGTTTTTGTGAAAAGAAAAGTTTAACTGTTGTTGACTATGAGTAAATTCAAATGTCTGTATTGAGATCTTATTAATAACTTAAAAAAACTAATTCAGAAGTCAAACAACAAAAATCCATGTTATATTTTCAAATTTTCACAGGACTAGTTTCGATGGTTTTTACCGAACCACCATCCTCAGCTGCAAAAGCGCAAATGAACGAGATAGGATATAATGATTAGATAAGATAAGAAAGGCTGGAGAGAAAATAAGCTAGTGGCACCATCTGTCATCTTAGAAATCATCTTAGAAAGGATTTACTGTGCTTTCTGACCCTAACTGTAGCAATTTATTGGTATGAAAACATTTTGTGTAGTAGAATATAATCTATTCATGCGAGCCCTGTCATAAGAATAATTTAATAAAGAAGCAAAATTATCATTGTATTCAAAATTGCATTTTTTGAGCGAGGTAGTAAGGAGTTCTGACTTTCTTATCAGTTAAATGTTGCTATTTCGGATTTTTAACTTGCTAATTTAACATTTATTTTATTTTTTTTAAGCCCAGGGCTTTAGACCCAAAAATATATTAGTCTCAAAACAACATTTTGCGTGGTTTTCACTTTCTGCGTTGATTCACTTTTCAAACAGTTGCTACAAAATATTGCCATGCATTATATTTAAAGAAACTAAATAATGAAGATTATGCATGAATGTATGAATGTTTCTCGCATTTTCCAAAAACAACGGTACCTAGAGCCATCCAATTTTGAATAACGTAGTCCTCCAACCGAACATGAGCACTTGGAATCCCGAATTTGGAATTTGTTTTATTAGCTATTTCCAATTTTGTAAAACTTTAGCGAATTTTTTATTAACAAACTCATCGATTTAAAAGCGTACAATGGGAACACTGTACGAAAAAAAATGTATCTCCAGCGCCCGAAACTGTGTATCGGAAATTCTTAAATTATGCTCTTTTTAAATATTTTGTGATATTGCTGTTGAATTGAATTTTATGGTTAAGTGCGAAGAACATTATATTTAATCAATAAAGGTACCACACAAAATGTAAAAAAAATATCCTTTTGGGCGTAATATATAATATAAAGCTTTCAGATTTTCCTTTATTCTCTCTCTCTCTCTCTCTTTTTTCATCCAAATATAAACTGTAATATTAACAAAACTGACGTGGGTTCCTACTTACGAAAGGAGTTGAAAATTCATTGATTAAGGGGTAGAGGCTTTCTGCTTTGGAAAGAATGCTTTTAAGGAGTCTTTATAAAGGAATTCTCGTAATTACTTTGCGCACTTGAAAAGCACGTAAACTCTATGCACTTATATCTATAACTTTGGATTACAGTGTCTAATCAACACCTTGAAAGAACGGTAGTGGTACTTACTGGATAAAATTGTATCTCCCATTAAGGCTTTTATTTATGGGATCGACATTCCACATCGATACTGCATATGATCGACAAGGCATAACGTCGACACACGTAAAGTCAACACTGACATACGAACGATAGTTATCAGCACAAACGACATGGTAAAAAAGAAATTTTAATAATGGTATAATAATAAGTAAAAGAATTATTGCACATTTTTTACGTGCACAGAATCTTCACAGGCATACAGTCGACACCACATACAGTTTGCCTATATATAATCGGCATTTTCATAATGGCCAACCGTGTGTAACCAAGAAAATAAGAATTTGATAAAATTAGCAATTTCCAGGGTATTATTTGCAATTTGCAGCTCATCAGCGCTTCAGCGGTAGCTTAACACTGATAGTTCGACAGGAGCTCAAATCCCAGCAAACAAGCTGGTTGCAAGATAATTTAGTTATTTCTTCATGTGTAAGGTAAATAAAGTTTCCTTTTCTCATACTTCGTGAAAACCTCCACGAAGGCATCCCATTTCTTAGACAAACAGTTCATGTGCTTTGCCATGATTCAAATAACCAAAGAAGAAATGAGGAGAAATGCAGTAGATACTAGCTATTCTAGGGATAGAACAATTAATAATAGATGTAGAAGAGCATTTTTGAAATCATTGTGTATCAGTTCCGGGGAGTTGTATATCACCAAGAGTGCTTAAATGTTAAATAACTTCAGTGCCTTTAATTGAGTCTGAAAATTGGAATGATGGAGTTGAATTTTTTTGAATTTTAAAATTTGCAATTTGCTAGGAAAGATGAATCTTCTGCTCAAGTGCTTGCAACAATTTTGAAAATTCAAAATTTCCGAATCTATGGGCGATGTGCGTGATTAATTACATCAAATGCTTCTAATAATTCTTCTAATAACTATTTTAGAGTTTAACATAAAAACTCTAAAATTGCGGGGACTGTAAATAATCTAAAGATATTTTAGAAATACAACAAGATTTGACAGTTGAGGAAAACTGAAAAATACACTAATTATCATAAAAGATGAACAGAAAATAATTATAATGTAAGAAAGAAAAAATTTCTCCTTTCTTTTTGTTTATTTTCACAATTTTAAAAAAATGATATAAATCTAAAATTTGGTTACTTAGGGAAATTGCTATAAATTAAGCATAAAACAAATCAGTGCGAGAATGGTTTCGCTTACAAACTGAGACTGCAACACATTTCAACCAGTTTTAACCAGCTTCAGATGTTAAAAAGTTCCATAATTAAGATCTTCTTATTGTAAATGCACAAAATTTAAATCTTGGCATAAAATTAAATAACTTGGGCATTTAAAGCCCGAATGTTGGAAAATATCATAATTAAGAATTTTTAAATTTTCGCAATAGCATACGTACAAAATAATGATCAACAATTGATTCAAGGCTTTCATACGAATACAATAATCTGAATGGAATGTAAAAGATTATTACTATTCTAATTTATATTGAAAGTTGTTACACGACCTTGAAAAATCAATATTATAATTTATAAGGCAGACATGTAACTGAAATTATTAAATGCCACAAAAATGCAAATATAATGAGACTTTTCTAATGCGACCACTAACGGCGGCTTCAAGCGATTTTTAAGCCACTTATATAGATGGTTGCATTAGAGAGGCAAATGTATAAAAGCCTGTTTATTTATGTTGTAGGAAACACTTTTAGAGTTCGCCGTCATGACGTTAGAGTCATAAACTTATGTTAGAGTCAATCGTTTATGACTATGACGTTAGAGTTCGCCATCATGAGATTCTCTGTACATATATGTAAAACAGTTACAAATAATATGTCTTACTAAAACGATCTGACATATTTAGGCTTCTAAAATTATGTCAAAAATTTCAAAAAGGAAATCTAACAGAAAAAAAATCCTGATTTGGTTAATTTAAAGCAGTTAACACAGTTTATGATAAATAAAACATTAATTAAAGCATCACAGGCTTCAGTATGAGAAAAGATTAGCATGATCATCAAATCATATTATTTAGGTTATGGCCAAGTACCATAAGATTATCTGCCGAAGTGGATATGTGGTTTATAGCGAGGCGTTGATACAAAAATGATTTCATACGTCTGATAGAAACTAACTCGTATTTATGTTACACATGGAGAAAACCACGAAAATTTCCTGGTAAGCAGCACATCCGCCATGGATTGAACGCCAGTCGAACTACCAATATTCAACGATTTTTACCTCTCGGCTGCTAGTGGTCGAAGGTCATTTAAGTTATTCTCTGAATTTCAAAGTTATCGGTCTATGCTTCATTGCACAATTATTCATGCTCAGATTTTTGGAAACAAGAGATAAATTAAAAACTGGAATTCTAGATAACCAAGTTAAATTAAATTTATTTAATTTTCAGTTTTGATACGTTTTACTTTATGAATACGAAAAGCTCCCACGTATGATTTATTTGGAGCTCAATTTGGAGAGTAGAATGAATAAGTTTCTTTAATTTGGTTTGGTTTACTTGACTATAACAAAGTGCACGAAAGTTATCTGCCTAAGAGGATGGTTGCCTTCGTGGCGGGCTTCCTAAGGAAAACTAGCTCGTAACCACGTTATATAGGGGAAAAACCACGAAAAGTTGCTTTGCTAGGAATCAAACCCAGATCTACCAACCAGGGTATTTAGCAACTTAACCGCTCGGCCGCTTTTAAGTTTCCATAAGCTTTACACGTAATTGTAATTAATATAACTACTATGAGTAAAAATCCTTTCTAAGATATCCATCCATGTTTCAGCCTATCAGCGGCCGAGCGGTAAAGACGCTGAACACTGGTAGTTCGGTCCGAGGTTCCAATCCCGTGAACGGGCTGGCTGCACGGGCACTTTTGTACTTTTCCCCATGTGTAATATGTATACGAACCAGTTTCCCTTAGAAAGTTCTCCACGAAGGCATCTCTCCCATTAGGTAGATAGTCCTCATGCGCTTTGCCATAGTTGAATAATCCTAATCCATCCTTTTGTTTCTAGTTGATTTTTGGTATTCTGTGAAGATCATCACCCTAGAAAGATGATATTCAGTACAAGTGTTTGTTTATACCTGTAGAAATGCCTGTCACTTTTGGAAGTGATCGTCTTAAGGAGATGGTCGCCAATCGTTTATGGGCTACTAGATGGTCCGGCTCTGAGTAGATTATGCATTGGTTCATCGTAAAATGCATTAAATCCTCTCTAAGGAGATCATCCACGTTTCTAATTATTTTGGTCTTTGGTGGAAGTGGTCGTCTTAAAGAGATAATGCTCGGTACAAGTGTTAATTTCTACTCTGGGAAATTATTTTGGAAGAGGTCGCCATAAGAGGGTTCACTGCATATTAAATGTTTAAATCCAGATCACGTGGTTATAGGATCCATTTTAATTAGATTTTAAAATTTTAGTAAAATAAAAAATCTGAAAGGTTTCAGATTTAAAATTACGTCCAAAGGGGCCTTTTTTTTAACATTTTGTGTGTTACCTTTATTTATTAAATATCATGTTCTTCGCACTTAAACCATAAAATTCAGTTCAAGAGCAGTATCGCAAAAAAATTTTAAATTGAGCACATTTTTAGAATTTCCGATTCACAGTCTTGCTCGCTGGAGATAAAAATGTTTTTTCTGTACAACGTTGCCATGGCTCGCTTTGAAATTCTTGAGTTTGTTAATCAAAAATTCGTTAACGTTTTACAAAATATGAAATCGATAATAAAACAGTTGCCCATATTCGCAGTAGGATTACGTCATTCGAAACTCGATGGCTCTAGGTACCGTTGTTTTATCACAATATTTAGTGTCAACAGTTTGAAAAGTGAAACGGACATTCAGAGTGATTTGACGCAAAATGAAAACAATAGTCCCTCAGGGACTAATAATTTTGAAATAAACCTCTTAATTTTAATAACTGTGGTATTCTTGTTTTCAAACTTAAGTGCAAAATTAAACAATTGTTTCCTGTGCAGATACGTTACTTTTAATTAAAATCAAATGAGAAAAAAAAAATATGCGAAAATTAATTAGCTAAAAAATTTAGTACTATTCTTATTGCAAACCGTAACTTGAAATTGCATCTACAACTGTTTCTTACACCAAAGCTCAGGATGAATTCGTTTTCTGTTGTGCGTCAATAAATGTTTCACTAAACCGCAGCTTAAGGCTATAACTACATGCGGTGCGAGGAGAGTAATTACTAAAGACCTGACAATGACCAACGCTGGACAATTCGCCTTCCCCGCTGGCTTCCATCGCGAAAGCTTTTCCTGCTAAACACCTCTCTATTTTTAACCTTAACAAAAACAGCAGCTAGCAAATCTTGTTTCTTCTACTCGCACGTTTCCGGTAATCCAAAGTTACAGTTGTTGAGATAAAACTTTTATCACCCAGCTTGGCAGTCTTTCTAAACATGCCTTATATTTCCCATTGCAAACGAAGGGTGACATTTTTTTCGTTCCTTATTTTCCGGGGACATTCTTTCCGTTTCCCTTTTTTTCCGGGTGACATTTTTTCCTACAACCATAAACAAATGCTCTGAATTTCACTCAGAACTACTTGAAAAACATGCATATAATGTTGTTTTATAAGAATTATTTTGTTGTACCTGTTTTTTGTCCTCATGTAAAATTTGAATACATTATCCCGTGCTCTTATCTCAGCAACTAAAATTAAGAGATTATCAAAACGTAAAATGTAATAAATTATGAAAATTACTTATCCTAGTTGCAGTGAAATTTGTATATTTTATAATTATAATATTTCATACATATGTTTTAAATTGTATATTATTTTGTACCTTTTATTATTTAATTTAATATATGTCTTTTCTAAATAGCAGTTATAATAAAGTCAATATTCCTTGTAGATTTTAACATATTAACAGCAGATTATATGAGTAGATTGTTTAAGAAATGGTAAAGAATGGGGATTTACAAACTTACTAAATTCACAGTCTAAAGTTTATTCTTTACATTGTATGTCAATAAAATTTCTGTGTTTCATCTATTTAGTTTTAAATATCTGCTGAAGCTTCATATAAAGATTCTGATAATGATGAAGGTTTTATATGTTTTACATTTTTTATTGTTATATTAATCTCAGTTTATACTGAAGGGATACATTTTAAATTTCTCAGTGAAATGAAGAGAATTAGAAAAATGAACTAAGATCAGTTTGTAAATTGCAATATTAAACATTTCTCCATTTCAAAGCAGTTGTATGAAAATGCAATAATAATGTTTTTTGACAGTCTGTAGATTGCTGATTTCAAAATGTAATAAAATTAAAATTTGTTGTTAAATCAAAATCTTTTTTCAAATGTGAAAAAAAAAAGTAATTAAAAAAATCTTTTAAATATATTATCATTCATGATTCCAGATAATTTTAGCCTTTTATGTGTCTTAGATAGCTATCAGTGGTATCAATTTGCATAATGAATTTATTCTACTGAAGTCTGTTAAACAAAAATGCTGAAGTAGAAGTATGTTGGTTTATTAACAACTATATATTAAGATACAACAACATGCCAAATAAGTATTAATTTAGAAGTCAAAATAACTTCTAAATTAAACTATACATTAATTATTACAATTAGTTTCAAAACGTCATGTAGCACAAAATAATTTTTATTTTATATTTTTCTGTAATACTGTTAATGCTTTGAAATGGTCTGTTACGTGTAAAAGTAGACAAATGATCATCAATGTAGGCATTTTTTAATGAAGTGTTTTCTTTTTTTCAGGTATATTAATATGTGCTATGGATGTGCAGCTAGCTGTATATGAAGAACAGATTATACTTTTTGACATAAGACCACTTACAATTTTAGCTGTGAATATTGCTTTAATTTTGATATGTATTATAATGCTGCAGAGGCAGCCAGTGGACCAAAAGAAACTTTCTTTCAAGGTATTCCCTATCTTCATATTTGATGATAAAACACTGAATTAAAATGACACCTATTTGTGATTTAAAGAGTTTAAAATTAATTTGATTCTCCCTAGATAAGATGTTGCTGTAAAATGAAATGCTGACAATATTGTAAAATCAGGAACAGATGTGTTAGATGCACCATATTGGTGAAAAGTTACTGCTGAAAAATTTGGTGAGAAAATCGCATTTTCAGAGACCTGTTAGGCTTAAAGTGCAAAATCTAAACAAAAAACTTAAATAATGAAAACAGTGTCAAAGCATGTGAATTTACCATTTGAAAAAGAGAAAATAACAATAAAATAGTTAGTAAGAATGTAAAAAATTCAATCTTAGATAAAAATTGCAGCAAAAATAAGAAAAATAACCAAACAAGACATATACAGAAACGCCTAAACTGATTAAACCATTGCTTCGCATGGTTATCATGCCGGACAAATAATTGCTGAATTTGGTGACAGTTGCATCTGGTACATCTGTACCAAAAATTAAACACTATTGGTTTAAAATATAATAATTTTTTATTTTTCAGGTTAATTTAATAATTTATGTCAAGAATAGAGTTAGCTATGATATGTATTTATTGTTGAATGTGTTTGGTTGAAATGAGCAGTTTAGAAGCAATATATCTAATTAGTAATACAGATTTGAGGAATGCAGTAAATGTATGCAGTTTTTTAGGCTGCGTATAGCAGATTGGTGGACTACAAAATTTAAATGGAGGCTCAATGTTGCTGGATTTCTAAATGTCCCATGGCTTTTGACCTTTCTTAAGTTAAAACGTATCATCTCATACCTTTTCAATGCAGTTACAAAAAAAAAAAAAAAAAAAAAAAAAAAAAAAAAAAAAAAAAAAAAAAAAAAGAAAAGGAAAGAAAATATTATTTCATCTATTGCTAACTGTTCTAGATGCTAGCCTTTCTTAGTGTTCACAAAAATCCCATCTTTTTCCACTGAAAGATTTTCACATTTATTATGTACATATAATAGTTTCATATTCTCTTTTATTTTGCAGGTACCTTTAGTTCCTGTAATTCCAATGTTGAGTGTAGCTATTAATGCCTATCTTATGTGCAAATTGTCAGTTCTTACTTGGAAAAGGTTTGGCGTGTGGATGATACTTGGTAAGTTTTTGTTTTATAAATGCTTTAATTTCCAATTTTTAGTACTACTTTTTAACAATTAATAACTTTTATGCTTTTTTTAAATGCTACCATTGACTGAAAACAATAATCAAAATTTAATGTAGATAATATAAGTTTATTTAGGATATCATTTAACATGTCTGATTATTAAAATGTTAATAATGGCTTGACTATTTTGGATGTCCCATTTTTAAAGACCGTAGTCATAATTTCATTTTACAGGATTTTTTTCAATAAGTTTATTGCTATTTATTTTTTAATGGATTAATTTTTGAAAATATTCTGTGTTATGACATACATATCAGGGCTGTTTCCAAGAAGAATAGTATTTAAAGCCTTTACGGGTAAAATAATTTTTATGTTCTGCATATATGAAAATGTGCATTTTTGTGTTAGAAAAAGGAACCTCTCTGATGAAGTTATACATTAAAGTGGGAAAAGGTGTTTTCTAAAATCTCTTTGTATTTTTGAGAATTTGCCATTTTTTTAAAAGTTTCCGTGCTTGTAATACATACACAGATATTCATCTCCAAATCATTAACCCTCTCGATGCCTATCCTGCTATTTCCACAGGCAACGTAGAAGTATGCATTTTTTTCCGTTTATTTAACTGTGCAACCCGCTCTTTTCCCGTTCATAATTTCATTTCGTCTTTTCCGTGATGTTTAATTATTTATTCAGATGTGGATTAACAGATGGCATTAGTTGTTCTTGCTGTGGCGAGTTCAAAATAGAGCCAATTATTTCATCATCAGTCATCTGATATGTCAGTGTTGGCTCACCTGAACACATCATCCATTCAACATCTTCTTGCAAAGCCTCCTCATTTATTCTTTCTTTCAAATATAAAAGCAGTTCTCTTGCTTTAACCCCTGCTGCACTGACTCTAAAACCAGAAAATTCACTATCATCACTCTCAGTTTCAATAAACAGGGAAGATGGCCGTACATTATGCCAGACATTTACTAATGTTGTTTGAGAAATATAATTCCATGATTCAACTAACAAATAAATGGAGTCTTTGATGGTGATTTTTTTTTAATCACAAAGTGAAATAGAATGGTTACTTGAAAGAATTTTTTTCAGATACTCCAATTTATAGGGCCATTTAATACTGTGTATTATGCCCTGGTCCATTGTTGAATCAATGAAGCAAGAAAAAAGGGCCATGACATTATCACATGTTAAAATGGTTGCATCTGGATGTGCAGAACAGCTGTCTAACAATAGTAAAATCTTGCAATTTGATGGTAACCCCACACTGTTACAATGCCTTCTAGGCTCTTTAATGAAATGTTTCATGAACCATTCGGTCATAAGTTGTTTTATGAACCAGAAATTTTTATTAATCCTATCAATTACAAGTAAGGATTTTACTCCTTTCAGAGCTCTGGGATTGGTGCTCTTACCCACTACCACTGGTTTACATTTGTAAGTTCCAGCTGCATTGCTGCATACTAAAATAGTAACTCTTTCTTTAGCTTCTTTAACCCCTGACGGTGTACTTCCTTCGCTTGTCACAATTGTCTTTCTTATTAAACATCGACAAAAGCATCCAGTCTCATAAACCTGTTCTGGGTTAAGATTTTTTTCTGCCACTAATACAGGAAATTCAGCAATAAATTCCTCTGCAGCATCTTTATCTGCTAAAAGATTTTCCCCACATGTTTTCAGATAATATATACCGTGTCTCTACTTAAATCTATTCAGCCAACTGTTGTTGAAATCACACATTTTAAATCAGCATGAATCTGAAGCAGCCTTGAAATTGGTACCCCATCACTGTGCTGCTGCCGGAGCCACTCATATAAGATAGCATTGAGGTTTGCCGATTTTGTCTCATGCAGATATTTCCGGTTTCAGATTCTGGTGTTAGAATCACTGTTGCTGTAAAATTTCATCAGCTTTTCTTTATTTTTCCCTATATCATACATGGTCTCTGTAGCAATTTGATACAATTCTTGCCATAAACTGAGGAGTAGTACCTGCCTCCATCTTTTGCAGAATTTCCACTTTTTGCATTATTGTCAATGGAACGTTTTTACCTTTTTCAATGTTGCAAGCAGTAAGATCGTGAATACATTTCTTATCTGTCATTGTATTAAAAAGTGCTGAAATTTAAAACATTTTAAATTTATCCACAAAATATCTGTATAAAAAAATGACAAAATTAAACAATTATTTACAATTAAACAATCTTTTGAAATAACAAAGCTCAGAAAATACAACATTGTGAATCATGAAAGAAAAGTTGAGTGAATCATTTGCTTTTTTACCTCAGTGCAGATTGGAGGGAAAAAACTTTTACCATGATGTCAGTAATTTGGTATTTCCATTATAACTCATCATTATTCGGTAATTATGACTGCATTATTCGGTAAGTATTTTTTCTTTGGTATTTTGTTCTCCATGTTGCAGTTTCTGGAACCCATAAATTGAATAATATTTTGAGAGAGAATGCGGATTTTTGGTATTTGACTGTATCAGCTTTTCATATTATTAAGAAATTTAAATAAATGAACAATGCCTTAATGTTACTTGTCCTAGAAATTGTAAATGATCTACTTAATTGAGCTCCAGTAGTCTGAAGTCCAAATAACTGGGTTTCTGCTATATTGCTGTTCATTTTTATTTAAAGAAATGTCCAAAATAGAGAGTAAAAATTTAATTATTCTCTTTGAAATGAATTTTTACTGTTTTAGCTTTTAGTTTATGTTTCAGATAAATTGTAATGAGGTACAGTTTTTGTATACAGTTTTTGTATAAAATAATTTCTAAGTTGTTAAATAAGTTTAATTATTTAACACAGTAACATTTGTGCATAATTATTACAAAATTTATAGGACTATTTATTGAATTAATTTAAAGTAATTTTGATTAAATTATGACTTCTAACTTATTTCTAATTTATTTCATTAATAATATAGTACATTTGAATATTGAAATACTATTAATAATATATTACATTTGAATATTCAAAGATAGATGAATTTTGCTGTTGGTTATCTTGAAATAATCTTTTATTTTAATATTAAAAAACTAGTTGTGTGTTTTTATTTATTTATTTATTTTTTTTGTAGGTATAGCCTTTACAAAATATTTTTTTCATTTGAATTAATATCTTTCTAGGTTTTTGTGTTTATTTCTTCTATGGTATATGGAATAGTTCTGAACGCAAACAGAGTAAAGGTGCTGCTTCAGTGTATACTGTGGATGGTGGGGAAACACAGTTGGTAGACCGAAGTGATGTTTTAAGTACTAGTACTTTACAACCTGGAAAAAGCAGTGTTGAAAGCAACATGTCTGAACTCATGTCAAGTTGTAATTCTGCAGAGGCTAGCCTCATATCTAACCATCCTACCAATGGAACAGTAAAATAATGATTTATTCACATTATCCAATTGACCAAGAGTGATTCTTATGGAAAAATGTACTGAAGTAAAAATGATTTTAAAGACAATTTAAAGACAATAAGAAATATAAGGGGCTGTTCTCAGGGTGTGAACGGTGCATAGAAAATATTGTTAATGCTGGGAAAAAAAAGCTTATTCCTTGCTGTGTGCACACTTCATAAATTACTCCAAATTGTGTACAGTCTCGTATATCTTGTAAAAGCTCTGCTACACATATTGCATAACAAAGTGTTATTGAATATTTTGAAAAAAATATTAACCAAGTGGTCTCCATCAGCAGGAGGAAAAATACTTTCCTTTCTTTTCATCTTTGGACAGCATAGATTCTGAATCAGAGGGAATCTGTTCAAACAGAGCCAAAGCCTTGGGTATAACAAGCCCTTTGCATGGCATTTTCAAATTAAGCAAAAAAATTATCTATATAATATGATTTATCTGCAGCATATAATTACTTTAACATAATTTAATTACTTTACTAAAGCACAAGTTTTTTTCGGAAAAACTGGTATAAAATTATTAAGTTTTTTTTGACAGAAAGTGAATATACATGTATAGTGTAAATAAATTTTTGATTTGTACTAGTTATTATTTTAGTTATACTAATTTGATACCAGTTTCTTGCTACAGATAAAATTTTGTCGTCATTATCTTCATATTCACTTCCATCACTCAGAAGATCGTAACTTTCATCACGGAAACTTTCTGATAAATTGGTGTATTCAAAATCGTCAGAGTCGCTCATTATCAGATAACTTTTTGTACACAAGTTACGAGGACACTTAGTAAAAATTAGTTTATGGTGAACTGTTTACTTTTATGATAATTAACGCAATAAAAATTGTTATATATATTATCTTTTTCATGCCAAACAACTGCTTTATAACAAAATTATAGCTAATCATAAAAATGTACCATGTGGTTTACACACACACACACACACACACACACAAAAAAAAAAAAAAAAAAAAAAAAAAAAAAAAAAAAAAAAATTGCTGCACAGTGGTGCCCTCTAGACAGGTGCAAAATTAGACAAGAACACACACACACCCAGTGCACATGTTTTGCAATAAACATCCTATACAAATATGTTATTAGATTTTGGAGAGCTGTAATGAAACTGCTGGAAACTGAACATAAGCAGAAATTCAGAAACGTTTTTCACATACGTATAAAAAATTAGGCAAGGATGCTTTCACCTTAAATCTACGTTATTGCAGTAAATAATCCATGCAAGTATGTTTTCAGTTTTAGAGAGCTTAGCTGAAAAGCATTCCTACAGCTGTCATAAATCAAATGTAAGCCATGCTGAAACCTGGTGCCATTCATGCCTTGAGAACAAAAAATAAAAAAAAATTTCATAGATTTTCTTTTGTATTCATATTATCTAGATCTAAATAAGGGATTCTGATGAGTTATTTTTCACATTAAAGACTGTTTTTGTTTTTATAAAGCCATATTTTGGATGCTTTAGAAACAGCCTTCAGTAAATGGTGTAAGAAACGGTGGACACAAGGCTTTAATTTTTAGGGTGCTGCCATCTGTATTCAGTATTTAGAAGCAAATGAGGAATTCTAAATGCCAAATATCTCAAAAAGAGTATATTTAATTATTAATTAATATTTAAGAATAGTTTTTTTTTTTTTTTAAAAAAGAAGAAGAAAATTTGCATTTTTGTGATGAGAACAGCACAGGGTAGAGGGTTAAAGAAAAAGATGATTGTTGCTATTTCATTTGAACTAGATCACCGTTTTCAAATTACTATGGCCCTGAGGGCCATAGAGTAGATGTTCTCTGGAGCATTTGGTGTTCTAAATTTACTGTTTATCTCTATTAACTCTTGAATTAAACCTTCTTGTTCTACAGTTACTTTGATTTAGAAAGATTTTAGAAAACATAAAAATGTTTGCTCTGTTGCTCAAATGTATTTTGTGAAATTACTACAAATATAAGTATTCCAGAATTTTAATTACACATTTTATTTAGTAAATTTTATACCTTCTTTGTAAATGTAGGTGTATTTTGAAAAACTGTATTCTTATATTTATGTTTCATTAAATACAGAACTTTAATTTAAAACTTTTAAGTAAAAGCTGCTTTTTTCTTCGTATCCTAATATGAGGGATTTGAGATTTTTAAAATTTGGATTTGAGAAAATTTAGGATTCATCTCACCATTAACTTATAATAATTATAAATAATTATGTTTTTCTCTGTTCAAAATTTAATCTGGGATCAGCAGTATTGTTTTGTAGTGTTGTCGGTTGGATTGTGATTTATTTTAATATTTAATGCAGTAAAGCAATATGCCTCTGTTTATAAGTTTTAAAATTGTATAGGTTTCAGTACATGACTCGTTTTTAAAATCACTCTTTTTCAGTGTGTATTGTTGAGCTTTTCGTATGTGAAGCATTTCAGCATCACACAAAACAGATGTGTGTCAACAAAATGTAAACACCAATGTACTAGAAACTTTTCTTAAGGTACATGTAATATGAATTCCTATTTTGTGATCAAGTTTATTATTATATAATAAACTTGATTTATATTTGGAATATTTATATTTGAGACTATTTATATTTGGAATTAATTTTGATTTATACAAGACCACCAAATGTACATATTAAATTACAGAAGACTTAAGTAAATCAGGCAATCTCAATACATTGCCTGATTAACTCTAAGAAATGATATATTGCAATGAATTTTCATATGCATTGCCTGATTGACTCTAAGAAATGATATATTGTAATGAATTTTTGTTGCTAACACTATTACTAGAAAGTTAATTTTCATTTTAATTAAATTTAATGGTAAATTTATTATATATGTATGGTAAAATTTATAATAATGTTTTTATAAATTTTACATATTAAGTATTACTTATCTAAGATTAAAAAAGAACTTGTTCATTAAGTATTTACATAGTTTATGCTTCAATTTATCATATTATGTATTTATTTTATTATTAATTGTTTTAAGCAGTCTTCCAAGTATTCACTAGTCATTTTCAAGTAATTATGGTATTAATAACAAATAAAATATCTCTGTTGTATGAAATTAGCTCAACTAACATTGTATAATATGTAAAATGTTTATATATATATGTGTGTTTTGTGGTAAACCTTCTGCTTCATTTTCATAATCATAAACAGTTTGCAATCTTGTTGATTTCTATCTGAAAGACTGTTACTCTTACATTATTCCCAACTGTATTGTAGTTGTTAAATTAAAATTTACAATCATATTGCAATAATTTAAGTTTAAAGTACTAGGAGTTAAGAGACATATTAATAAAATTGCTCAGCAAATCTTAGTTGCATTTAAATTTCTTACATTTAGAAATGTTTAGCAATAAAAGAAAGCATTAAAAATAGTAAAGGGTTTTCCTTCCATACACATTAATTTTTGTTTTTTGTGATAAGTCATAAATTTGTAATTAAAAATAATAGAAATAAATGTTAATTTAGGCATCAAGTGTTTTTCAACTATACAGTAAAATTTAATTTTACTTTGTACTTTCTATTGTTTAGAAAATCTCTGCATAAAATTTGGTTGCAAATTTAACATGAATCCATTCACACATTTTATTTTGAGACAGATTACTCTAAAATTTCAGTACTTGCAGAATGTTTAGTGTACTTAATCAACTTAAAAAATCTTTTGTCTTATTCATACTTTTTTTTTTAAAGTATATCAGCTACATATATTTTGAGCCTAAAGCAAGGGTACTACTTTTAAGTTATTAATATTTTGGTTTTGGGTTTTACATTATTTTTAGTTTAAAAAAGACAAGTAAATAAGTAAGTAATTTAAGAAACGCAAGTATAAAAGTAAATAAGACTTATACATGAATTAAATGTTTTATATTAAAAAAATATAGAAAATTGCATATTTGACACAAGATGTAGTGTGTAATTTTTCAAATACTCAAAAGGCATTATAGATCCTTTCCGTATTTTTTTAAACTAAATTTTTTGACAGTGACATCAGTATTTAAAAAAATATATAAATACCCTGTTATTTATGTAAAACTTCATATGTAGCATACTTAGAATAAACAAAAGTAAATTAGCGAATGGGAAAAGATCTATCAATATTATTTAATTTTTTTTAAATTTCATATCATGATATATTAAATAATTTAATTAGACATAGACTTCAATTAGGATAATGCAAAACTTTTGTAAATGTTTTGCATATTTTACCAAAAAATTACCACAACAACATGTGGTACATTTTTGGTATGATATTATCAAATTGTTAAAGAAATAGATTGATTTCATAATTGTTTGCCATTTATATGTTAGTTGGATCATAAAAAGTAACAATTTGGTCTTTCAGGTTCAATAACTTATTAACCAATTAAAATAATATGTATATTAATAAATTATTTAATACAAGAACCTTTTCAGTTTTTTTGGTATAAATATGGTAAATGATGGCATTTCAGTTTTCTAAGTTAATGTTCAGTATTCTAAGTTAATGTTTCAACATATAATGATTAATTTCTCATTAAGTGTATGAAATTGTGGATAATGAAGCAGAATTCATATATTGAAAGAAACAATCTGATTTAATATTATATGTAATTGTATCTTTATGATTCTATTTTAATTTATATAGGTGAGTGTAAATTTCATCTTTTATAACTTTTTTATTATTTTATGATCTGGACATCAAGATAAAGTCACAGGAATTAAATTTTATTTCTAAATTTAATTCTCTGTTTTGTACATTTAGCCTTTTGATAAAATCTGAATGCATGTTTAAAATTAATTAAACTGATAATTTAGAATGAAAAGATATTTTTATGTTATTCATATTAATGTAAGTAAGAAGAGAAAGGAAGCTTATTCTAGTATTCAACAGAAATGTCAAATTGAAAAACTATTGAATGCTATTCATATTTACATAATTTGTGTATCCTTGCTGTGGTGCTGAATGCTGAATATCAAATATTGGAAATGGCCATTTATTCAGCTCTGAGAATTATTAAATTAATGTTACGGTTTTTAATAAAGATGTATTTTAACAATTTTTTAGTTTAAATTTGGTTTATCATTGTTTATGTTGAATATCAAGTAATAAAAATTGTTTAACTTTTTTTTATCAGCAAGTATTAAAATAAAGTACTCAATTTCCAGTTGTTAAACTGGAAACATCCAGCCTGTTGATATTTTTGTAATTACTCATGCAAGAGTAATTTTACATTTGACTGCAAATTAATGTTTGGATTTAATTTTGTTGTAAAAAATATTCACTTGCTTTCCAAACATTTTTTATTTATGTAAATTTGGAACTATACAATTCATATTATCATGTTGTTTTTTGCATGTTGTGACTATATTTTTATTATTTGTATATAATCTTTTTACAAAGTTGTCTTATAACATGTTTTTATTGCTTAAAATGATCCAAAGGAATTGTACACTTTGTTATGTTTGAAAATATGTAGACTACTTTATTATGCACATTGTGTTTTGTTTGATTTTTGTTTAAAATAAACCTTGTGTTAGTATTTTATATGCATAGCTTTTTTAAACACTTCAAAGATAAACCTCCTTGAAGCATTATTGATTTCACTTTCCTTAAAATCACATTTTTATTAAACTTAATAGGCTTAATGAAAATGTGAGGTTTCCATTAGTAAATGATAGATAAGCTACTTCTTTTATGCTTAGCATTAAAAACAATTGTATTGCTAATTTTTTAGCAATTTTTGTGACAAATTTATTTCCCCCCCAGGCTATTATAAATACTGTTAGCAGACTGCAGTATATTTTTAATTTGCAAGTTGACCTTATCTCAGAAGAATTTGACATATATTATATTAATTTATTTGCTGTTTAATAAGCAGTGATTAAATTTTGTAGTGTGTTCTAGTCTTTTTTTCACTGGAGACTATGAAGGAAATTTTATACAACCATATTTTATTTATGAAAGAAATTTTATACAACCATGTGTTATTTATGAATATGCAAACTATCTTAAAGTTGTGTATAAATCATATCAGAAAATACCCCCCCT